AAATCAGCATGAAGTCAAGCAAAGGAAATCCACACGACTGCTTTCTTCCACTGAGTGATTCATAACTGAAAGTGGACAAGGTCTCTTCCTTTTCTGCTCAGTATTGACTACCTGACTACCTCCTGTCACATCAGCCCCCCCTCCCCCCAAAGGTGACAAAGACCAGCACGGGCAGCACAGTTCTCTGAATGGCCCTCCTCTCCGGACTTACCTAGGCTCTGTCATGCTGGGAGAATGCCTGTGAGACTATAGAAAAATATACATTGGTCTCTGCCTCTGGTTCCTGACACAGGGCTCTTGAAACCAGTGTAATTTCCTGGGGGATAAGAGGACTGGGACTGTCTCCTGTTCTAACACTTGGTCTATGACCCTGGTTCCTGAACAGTGCTTCTGCAAACCTTATCATTTTAATTTCCTAGGTGATAAGCCTTTTTTTGTTCTGAGGCGACTCTGGGTGGGCTCCTGGATGAGGGCTGGTCACCTGAAAGACTTGGCCATGATGAGAAGCTTGGCATTTTCAGCACCCCCTATTATCTTGAGAAGGGAAAAGGGCTGAAAATGGAGTTAGTAATCAATCATGCCTACACAGGGAAGTCTCCATAAAAATCCCAACAGTACAGGGTTTGGAGAGCTTCCACACAATGGGAGGGTGATGCACCCCAACTTCATAGGGACAGAAGTGCCTGCGCTTGGAAACCTCCCAGACTTCGCCCTACGAATTTCATCTAGCTGTTCATCTGTAGTCTTTTACAAACTGGTAAACGTTTTCCCTGCATTGTGAGCCGCTCGCTCTAGTAAATTAATCAAACCCAAGGAGGAAGTTGTGGGAACCTCTGATCTATAGTCAGATGGTCAGCACAGGTGATAACCTGGGCCTGTGACTGGCATCTGAAGTCAGGGGCAGAAGGCGTTCTTGTGGGACTGAGGCGTTAACCAGTGGGATCTGACGCTATCTCCAGGTATAGAGTCAGAATTGAGTTGAATTCTCAGACACCCAGTTGTCCTAAGAATTGCTTGGTGTTGTATGGAGAAACCCTACCCCAACGTTGGAAACTTGGGTACCAGAACCCTTGCAGCTCCATTTTCAAAGAACCTGGACATGATGGGAATCTGACCACCACTTCCTACCTTTCCACGTTGCCCACCGCATCCACTCGGCAGTGGCTGGTGCCTGCACACCAGGCTCCCCTTCCACGCTTGCATGCCAGCCCTTGTGGTCACCTCCCCGTCTTTCCCTAGGCCCCTCGGGCCTCTGCTTTACCCAGCTGATGACATCACTACCAGAGAAAAATGCCCTGGCTCCACAGGTCTAGTTCAATTATGAGTATCACCTCAGTCAGGCCCCCACAGTGGCAGGCATTCCTATTTCTGCTTTTCTTGGTGGCTCTTCATTCTTGACGGACTCTGATTCCCATTTCACCTGAAAAAGACATGTCATGGGGCACAACCTCACTCCATTTCCTCCTCTTGACCTAGAAAATAACTTTTATCTTCAGCCGTCCTTGGCGCTAGACTCAGAAAGAGCCCCCACATCGCATGTGCACCTTGACCCACCTTTTACTTGCCCTCAGCCTGTGAGACCTAGCTCCATCATCCCCTCTTAACTCAGTCTCAAATATGGTTGAACCTGTTCCCCATGAGGGCCTAACCCATCACTGCTTCTCTGTAGATACACCCACTCCCTCTCCTCTCCCCAGGGATTCAGGTCTCCAGCTGCTCTGTAACCCTCACGATCTGGGTTTGGTTTCTGCTCCTCTCAGAGGACTTCTCTGTGGTCACTGGTCAGCTCTGAACACTCTGGTTCTGATTAAATACAGCAAACTGGGCTACCCAAGATGTTGGTCCATATCACCAACAGGAATGGCTGCATTACTGCTAAGGCAAGGAGTTCATCATCACAAAAATGGAAAAGAATATGATTATTATAGACTCCTGTGTTAAGTAAGGAAGATGATTTTAATTGCTTTCTATAGGATTTGGGTAACAGAATTTTAACCTCTCAAAGAAAAAGCAAATGCTATACTCCATGAGTGTTTTGTATTCCACCATAAACTCCCAGTTTAGGTGGGATCAACTCACTTTCCTGGAGAAAGTTTTGGACAGGTTTTTCCCTCTCAGATTAATAGAAAGCAGTTAGTTTGGTTAGCAGACATTTTAGTGCCACCTTATAACAAAATTTAAAGAAATAAAAAAGCATTTAGGAAGATTTGCTACTTAATGAATACTTGTTGTGAAGTCTTATACTAGACCATTGAAATGTGTTTTCATAATCTTCACCACATACAGAGGAAGGCTGTTGGTTCCACTTTACAGTGGAGGGTCTGAAGCGCAGAGCAGCACAATGACCTGCCCAAAGCCAGCTGTAGTTATGACAGGGCAGGTTTTGAACCCAGTTTTATGGGTCCCAAACCTGTGCTCTTTCTACACTGCCACACCAGAAACATTTCCAATACTTTGTCTTGTAAATATGTCACCACATGATACCCAATATTGACAAGAACCAAATGTCCAAAAATCCCTAGTATATTCATGACTTTTTGGTCTGAAAAAAGGCTGCCAATGACACCTATCCTGGTGGCAGAGTTGCTGAACTCCAGGAAGGAGAGAAGAGATGCAAATGGGTACTGTGTTAGGACTCCCAGGTCTGCCTTCTTCCCTCTTTAAAGCTAAAGGTCTGATGAATAATCTAGAAAACCCGATGGAGCACTAAAATCCCAAGGAACTGCAGAGCACCAGCTTATGGTTCTATCACTAATTACTATAAGCAAAGTCAAATCGGGAAGACACTTATTTGGGAACCATTCTAATAAAGGACTAGACGAGTTCTTATTTTTCACATATGAAACTCCCATTAAACTATACATGCACAGTACTATGTTATTTTGGTAACACAGGGACACAATTTAATGATTCTAATTTTTTTGTAGTTTTTCTTTTTACAAGTCAGGTGCCATAAACATTCAAATAATCCATCTTTTAAAAAGTACGTTTACAACATCAAAAGAATTAAGATGAAATATAAACCTTTCTACTTACAATTTTTATACAGATTAACCAAATCACAGATACCACAAATAAATGTTAAATTGTAACAATATTATGAATAAAACATTCAGATTCTTAATAAAATCTTCCTTTAACTTTTTTTTTTTAACTTACCATTATACTAAATAATCTATGCAGAGTTTTGGGGTACAATACCAAGAAGGCACCAACAGTACAAAGCAGATACAAAGCAGTTTCAGAACTTTCTTGAGTGCTCTACACGGATAAACAGCACGAAAAGGCAACGAGCTTTAGGTAAACCTGGTGCAACCCTAGAGAATTCCCTCTGTATTCCGTCGTTTCTGATCCATTCTGCCGACCTGAATTACAGTGAGAGAAACCATGTATTTACTGTTATATTATAAGCTTCTCATCTGCACTGTGGGAATATCATATCTCAAACACCAGCATAACAATTTTAAAGCACAAATGCTTTAAAAATGTATAAGCAAAAGGATTGCTCAGATTTTCAAAACCACTACATTTACAAAAATATTTCCCTTAAACTTGGGATTGCTCCAAAACATTGATTTACAAATATAAAAGTATTATGGAAGGACCCAAAGCATGTGTGCATATGTATGTGTGTATTAACATACTGTTACCATACAATATAAAAGTTACCAATTTAAAAACCGTATTAACATATAAGCAAATAAAGGTAAAACAGTCTCCTCTGAATGGTCTGAATATTATGTGGCACGCGGCGTGGGCAGTATACTTGTCCAACTCCTTACAGACAACCACTGACGAGCCACGTGTGGCTCCTGAAAACTAACAGGTGCCTCCACACCCATCACCTACGCCTGCAGCAGAAGGAATCACGTGAACACACCACGCAATGTGTACTGCACACAAATATAATAATATACTTCAATCCGTGCATCAAAACGGTCTGCATGTCTCTACTGAGCTTTGAAGACTTGTGTCAGCACAGAGTGATCATGAGTTCTCTCAAATCCATCCCACCGGCTTGTTAGGGATTTTGTTTGACATTAAATGAAAGGATTGGAATGTTTCAACAGGAATTTTTTGCTTACATTTTAGACACCAAAAAAGCCATTAGTCTGAAAACTTATGTGAGTATACTAATCATGGAGGCATTTGGTATCACTAATATAAATTTATGACCTAATTTGTACACTTTTAGAGATGCAAGAAGATCCAAATGGTGAGTCTATCACACATAATAGCCAGTACTTTTCACAGGTACCTTGGTTATGACAATTCTGACATGCTAAACCAAGTCTGGCATGATTAATAAAAAGCACACAACTTATGGCTACAGTGATTCTAGAATGCGTTAGTGAATTCATGCCAGTCTGACTCCAGGGTACCAGCGAGGGGGATGGGAAAGGCCCCCAGTCCCCAGGGATTAGTAACCAAGGCTACGGATGGCTTTCTCTTTAGAGGACTGCAGATTAACCTCATAATAACAACATTCCTTTAAAAAGTACAAAGAAACTAGAGTATTAAAACTCAATGCTCCTTTTTAAAATGGAAACTGACTTATCAATGTATCCAGTAACAGTCAGATCTGTATCCTGTTAATGCTATGTGGATCTTGACATGGTAGCTCTCAGTGCGGTGGTGAAGGTCATGTATTTTAGAGCAAGAATCTAGATGTGGTTTTGATTTCTGAGGATGAGGCAGCCATCCTTCTTCAGCCCGTGTGGTGTGAGCATCAGCACCCTGGGCCGGTGGGGGGGTGG